AGCAAAGCAAAGCAAAGCAGGTTTCCCAAGTGAAAACTAAGCTATATTGCCTGCCACTCTACTTGTACAGCCCATCCTTCCCCACACTTTTGAAACTGAGGACACATCACAGACAACACATCTTTCTGCTCCTCCTGCTGATCAAACATTCTGCATATGGGAAGGTGGAACATTTGCAGGCTCGCCTTCCTTCATGAATAAGTTGATCAGGGTGGATATCAGCAGCAGCAGCATCAATCCTGGAGTCAATGCTCCTTTGTTGCTGTGGGGTTGTAACACCTACTAGCTCTTTCTCCATCCACTCCTAGCTTGTCTGTTTGGTTCAGAGGCAGCTGCCACAGGGTGTTGGAATGCCGGAGTTGATACATTGAGTTCCACGCCTCTTGGTCTATGGGACACCTTGCACACATTCACTAGAGTTGATAGTGCAAGCGTAGCATGACCAACATGCATGCACAGAACTAAGGGTGCTTATCTTAGTATCTGTCATTTGACATCCTGAATTCTTCTGCACTGGCCAAAGTCGGCTTGCTACATCAGGCCATTGGGAGAGGAAGTGCAAAGTTTGCTATTGTTGTCGGAAAGATTAGAAGAGTCTTTGATTTAACGGTTCATATAGATAGAGGACAAAGGCAGCTGCGTTGGTTCGTGAGTAAAAGCAAATCTGCAGTCAGTCAATACCCACATTAGAACCAATCTTGTACACTTCTTAGGCATTTTGGTTGGTCCTAATGAATAGCATGCAAGAAATGTACAGTGAGTACAATTCTACTTGGTGCATACAGCCTTTAGTGGTAGCCTTTAGTATACAGGCAGACCTTCTACCTTTAAAAGCTTGCTAGAGCCAAAACTCAGAGAACAATGGCTGGAGGTGATTTGGTGGACTGCCACGATGTTCAGAGCATGAAAAAGTTACTTTTTTAAAACCACAAGTCCCAGAATCTCTGATCTAGCAGGTAGACATGATAAACTAATTGGAAGAGTCTGGGAGTTCGCAATCCTCGTCTCACACACACACACCCAAATAGCTTTTTCTAGCTATGGCACAATCCCTGTGTAACAGAAGGATTTGCCAAATCTAAGCTGTTCCTCTTTAGCGATTTCTCATCTCCTCCTGAACATTTTCAATGAAGGAAGGACCACTGTTTCCTTTCCAGATATTTCCCCCAACTCAACTGAATCAATGGGAACCTGGAAAGTCAACGCTTATGTAGGCTTTATTGATTCAATGGGCCCACTCTAACAGTTAGATTTAGACCATCATCTAGAACCTCTTAGATGGTCCATGAGATCATTTTCATGGTCTTTTGGAGCATGGCTCACATATTACCAGAAAGCAAAACATAACAGCTGGAGGGCAATCCTTATCCTTCATCTTCCCAGAAATGAATCTTGTTGAGTGCAGTAGAACTGAGAGCGTCAAAACTTTATAGATTTCAGCCTCTTGGCACTACAATATGTCTACTCAGTAGCAGGCATCTATGAGCTCAAGAGGACTTATCGTCTGCTGAGTGTGCATTGCATTGCAGCCTTCTAGGTACTCTTCTTTCTACAGATGAGCTGTGGATATAATTTTTTGTGATATTGTAATATGACGAATAAGAAAAAGAGATATGGGGCAAGTAGAATCACAGTCACATCTAGATATTTCACAGTGTGATCTGCATTTCTAAAATACACATTTCAAATTTTGGAAATCTGCTGCCGATCGGTTTCATTTCACCTCATTTACCTTTCCTGGACAGAGCAGGCTTCTCATAGATCCTTTTAAGCTAACATGTGTATTACAAGGCATCAAGTAGATCCCAGAGCTATACAGAAGAATATTTTTAAAATATATAGTTTTAAAATCTGGCATCAAATGGACACTGCATGCTACTGAAGCAGTGACACAGCTTATAACCAGTTCTTATGGGTAAATACAGAACTTGGAAAAGTTACTTTTTAGGACTACGGTTGCCATAATCCTCAGCCAGCACAGGAAGCCGACAAAGTAATTTTTCTAAGCTCTGGTCAAACATTGTATGGATGGGAGGATTACGGTACCTACTGCGTACAGAATACTTCAAAAGTATATACCTCGGTCAACTTGGAGCAGTTAGAATATAAATTAGGTATCCAAACATTTAAAATGAAGCTTTATTTGGTTTAAGACACGATTTAGCTGTAGACATTTACAAACGACAATGCCTATGTGACAATAAAATTGATAATCTCTAAACCTATCTGTTTTATTTTTGGCCCACGAAGCATATAGATGTTAATATAAGTGCCTGCTCTTCAATAAAAGTGTAGGTTCAATAACTAAAACAAAGCCCAAGAAAAACGATATTAAAATAAAATCAGAGAAGCAATCATCCTTGCAAAGAAGGGAGATCTCTACATCATTTCTTTTCAGTCATGGTAGTGATCACTCTGCTTAAGAATGGTTTGAAAATACCTCCTGTGTGTGAGAGGTATTGGCTGTTATAATCCATACAGCTGCTCTGCACAGATGTGAGAAACCTCATATAAGTATGAAGACAAGAAGTTGGGGCAGAGAGAAAGCGGCTCAAGGTGGATGTATTTAAGAGCCACAAGACACCCAATCTGCACAGATGTGAGAAACCTCATATAAGGTATGAAGGCAAGAAGCTGGGGCAGAGAGAAAACGGTTCAAAGTGGATGCATTTAAGAGACACAAGACACCCAACGGAACAGGAGAGATCAATAAAAAGGCCATGCCAGCTCCCCCCCCCTCCGCATCAACTTCTCTCATCTATGAGGGAAGGATAATAGATGAAAGATGACCCTCCCCTTGCTGGAATATCTGCAAATGAGAATTTATCAGCCTCCCTTCAAGGCAGAGCCTGGTCAACAATTCAGAACTCAGAGCAAATTGGAAACTGCTGTTTTTGTCTTGCCTCTGATTAAGCAGAAATGGGGAAAGCTCCCCTTTTTGGACTACAACTCCCAGGATCCACATGCCAGATTGTGGGCACCGCAGTGTTAAAAAGGACCTTTCCCAAACTCCATGGTTTGCTTTCCTAGCACTTGTTTCCAGTTATCCAGAAAAATCAGGATCAAGCTGGGAGATACAGACCTGCACCATTGTTTTCAACTGTAATTTTCTCCTCTACTCCCACACATACTTTTTGAGTGTGGGCCCCTCCTTTCCTTTTACATGAAATAAATTTCATTGTTTTTTAAATCTCTTCTTTCCGTCCTCTTTTACATGCAGAAATAGACAGTGGGACAGATCACTGTGATCATCGGGCGCTGGAAATGCAAAGGGTGACAGATGTTCGGTGCAGGCAATCTTTGAAGAAAAAAGGATAACAGCAACAATACTGAATGGCGGCACGCCAAATTTTGGGGAAAACATCCATCGACATTGTCACTAGAGCTTGAAAAAAGTTACTTTTGAATGACAAACCCCAGAAAGAAGATTCCGGAAGCTGAAATCAATATTTTTTCCAAGTTCTAGTTTTCACATTCATTTCTTTGCATGTTTGAATGGTTGCCCCTATAGTAGGTTCCTCTGCGTCTCCTTTCTTACTTGGTAGACAGGTGAAGCCCATGTCTAGACGTACTGTAAGTCTCTATGACCTGGGAGAAGAGGCTCTCCCATTTGCTTCAAGGCAAGGCTCCAATGTCATGTCCCTCCTTTCCTTTGTCTGTGCAAAGGTACCCCTTCCCTGAAATAAGTGGGACAGTCCTTCCGGTGGACAAGCACCATGCTGCCAAGAAACCGCTAGATCAGAGTATAAGGAGAAGTATTAGGCAGAACGACTTTAAATTGAACAAAATACTTGCTTGCTCAAACCATGCTTTGAAGAACAGTCGGCTCCCCTCCCATTATGTCGAGAAGAGTTTACATGGGCAACCATATTAGCGTACTCACTGGGCACAAGGCGACTCAATCAAGTCAAAAGATCTACAACATTTAACGCTAATATTAAATAATATGCAACCTTCCAAAAACACTGTACTTAAGACAGCTAAGAATATAGGCTATATCTATCCAAGATTTAATTCCACCAAAGCAATGGTTTTCAAAAAGATTGCCGAAGACCCTTCAAATTCCTTGGGAACATGTTAGCAGAACCTCAACAGAAGAACCAACGGCTATAGACAAGCTACCCTTCAAGAAAGCTTGCCCATGGTTATTTCTGCTGCTGTGATGCACCATCTCAAGGCGGGTGTTGAGTGCTTTCTAGAGCAGGAGTTGCAAAGTAATGTTGGACGTCCTCTGCTAGAAGGTCCAGTCAGGACAGCTAATTGGGAGATAGTCCAGCCATATCTGGAAGCCCCAAGATGGGTCCATACAGGCTCCAAAAATAAAATAAAATTTAAAAAAACCATAAACCAGCATGTCTCCTAAGTATATTTCTGGAACAAAGGTGGGCAGACAGTAAATGAGACTTTGCTAGTAGATCTAACAGTAAACCAGCAAGGGTTTTTTAAAAAAAACTTTCAATAATTTCACAATGAAAACAGGTGAAACGCTTCAGTCCCTGAACATTCATTCCCTGATCCCTGGGCAGGCACAATGAAAACAGGTGAAACGCTTCAGTCGCTGAACATTAATTCCCTGATCCATGGGCAGGTTATAGAATGGTGGAATAATGAAATTGGAAGAGGTCTATATGACCATAGAGTCCAACCCCCCTGCTCAAAGCAGGAATACAAATTATGTATCTCTTATATAAAAGGGAACTTTATGGTAACAGACTCATCAATCCTTCAAGTAAGTGGCGTGGGGGGAGCTCTGTTGCGGCTTGCCGTGTTCTAACCATTTATCTTTCTTGTTTCATTTTTAAATTATCCTCAAGCATGTCATCTTCCACCGGTTCTTTGTACATTTCTGTCAGGCATTTTCATTATTTAGACCTAAGAGTGTGTTGTGGATGATTTAAATGTAGATTTGTTCCAGTGTGTGTAAAATGCATACTTGTGTAGGTCTGACAAGACACGGTAAGCAACTGGTGTCACCCATGCGCAGCACTTGAAAATCTTACTTTTTTTTTTGGAACTGGCCATGCTGGATGGAAGATACTGTACTGATATTGCAGTTCCAAAAAGGAACTATTTTTTCCAAGTGCTTTGGATCTGCCTCAGCTATTATTTTGTTTGGCAGGTCCTAAAGTTCTAGTAAAAAAAGCAAAATGGATCTCACAAGCTTCCGCCTTCATCATCTTTGGACATCGGCCCTAGAATTCTCTGTAACTCTCTGGAGTTTCTGAAAAGATGAGCTAGTATGGAAAAATGTTGTCTGCCTCTTAATAAATTTGAAAACCATTGCACTCAAAGAAAAAAAGAGATGGAATTAATCCAAGAATTAATTTGGCCTATGTTCAATGAGAAATACTATTTCCATCCTAAGGGGAAATTTGGGGGTGGACAGCCCCCTCTTCCCCCATGAAGAAAAATACAAACAACACATACAGCAGCATCAATGTTAAGAGTATTTCTGATTTTTCAAGAACTGCCATCTCCAGTCCTCTCTTTGCGAGCTTCGACCATCTCTTTTGGAGTCTTCTTCCGGTCGGTGACCAAACCCAACCAAAACATGAAGTCAATGAACCATGTGGTCGGGTTGAATTTCAAGCCAAGCTCGCTCGCTGAATAATCAAATGGAAAGGTATGGTGGTAGTTGTGGAAACCTTCACCTGGAAAAGAGAAGGAACAGAAGAAAACAAGAGAAGAGCGGAATTCAACAGCTATCAGGAAACAGTTTATTCTGGAAATTTACATTTTTTTAAAAATTAAGTACATTTGTTTACATACAAAAAAGAACACAACAACCCCCAAAAAACAATTTACATGGTTTCCGTTATTTTGGAAATGAAATCAAAAGTACTAATAGTTTTTATTGGAAGAAAGTTGCTTCTAATAAATCATCGTGACTAGAAAGAGAGAGAATCACCTGTCCGATATGCTTTGATTGTATTCTTGCACTGAGCAGGGGGTTGGACTTGATGGCCTTGTAGGCCCCTTCCAACTTCACTTTTCTATGATTCTATGAAAGCAATATTTGAATAATTTGGATTGTGATTCTAATCTTAGGCAGTCCATAAGAATACAGAGCAACCCTATGCATGTCTTCCTGGAGGTAAATCCCACAAACTTCAATGGCACTTACTCACAGTTTCATGTGCTCAGGACTTCATTCTTAATATAACCATTAAGTACTTCTAAGGAATATTAATTTATTTATCAGTCCTCCTCATCATTGGGGCTGAAATCTGTTTTCTAGAGAACAAGTTCCATTGAATGCAGTGGGAATTCTGAATAAATATAGACAGGGATTGCACTGTATGTTTTTGTGTACGTGGTTTATTTTTAGGGCTGTCAGTCAATTAAGGAAAATTTAGCCGATTAATTAAAGAAGATTAATCTGATGAAATTCACCATAGAATTTGGGGGTACAAACAAATTCATTGTTTTGAAAAGGGAAATCATACAGTACTTTATTTTTAAATGACAAAGATTAATGTCAAGGCATATACTATATAAGAAAATCTACCTTTCCAGGTTAAGGAAGAAAACAAGCTATTGTGCGTGTGTGCGTATTCCAGTTATGACTAGCAGTTTTCCCCAACTCTGTCTTATGACTGGAATGTATCTGGGTCTACTATTTGTGCTTTTGTGGCGATGGCCAAGAAGCTGCAGTTTTTTGAGAGGATAACAAGAAAAGGAAGATAATAATGTACTGTGACATTTAATGAATGCAAACTTCTGGTGGAAAAAGCCAGTTTTGATCACAGTTTGCCAAGAGAACTGAAGCTAGACGAAGAATGATGAACAGACAAAATTGAGTTAGCGACTGAGTGCAAATGTCGGTGTATTCTAAGAAATGTATCTGGAAGCTTAAAATGCTCTTAATATTTATAACAATACTCATATGCCACCATGTCAGTTCTGATTTATGGTACCTGTTGTTAAATATACTTCTTTGCTTCAGATTCTGTTAGCAAATATATGCCTATGTTTGTTAAGCATAATAAAGAAAATGAGCACTGATGGAATAGCTGGTACACCAAGAACGCAAAACTGTATCTCAAGACTGGGCCTGAGGTCCGGACTGGGCATCTAGAAATCAGTGTCGGGAAGAAGGAGGTTATGAAGCAAAAAAGCAATAGGTTAGACAACAAAGGGTACTTTGTCCCAACTTCTCCTTGTACATTTTAGGTAAAGTTACTTTTATTGGACTACAAATCCCAGAATCCCCAACCCTCAGTATTGCCCATGGACTACAACTCCCAGAATCCCCAACCTTCAGTATTGCCCTGGATTCTGGGAGTTGTAGTCCAAATGGTAGCCTTCCTGAGCTGTCCTCTTTTCTGGACATCACTTTCCTTCTGCACTCATAGGGTTGGCTGGCTCGTTGGTTTAAGTATTTGTGCATTGTCTTTACAGCCGGCAGGGCACTCGGTCCATCGACCCAACGATTGGGTACAATAGATGGGCATGATTTAAGCCATGACCCTTCTTATGAAAGCCTCTGCACAGCACTACAGGTGCTGCATGTTCTTTCCGCCCACCCCCTGGCCAGCTGGCCCACTCACACCTTGCACACCGCTGGGGTCCTCTTTCTGCGGGGCAAGGTCAGTGAGGGCAAGGAACTGGGGCTGCCCTTTTCCGCCTCTGGAAGCTAACCACTCAGTGGCTGAGCAGGGAGAACTGTAGTCCAAAACCAATACTTCCCGTATCTGCAGCTTTCTGATAGACTGATCAATAGCCTTCCCTCCAATCCTGTGATTCTTAGTGCCCAAATTCAGTCATGTGATTTTGGCACCTATGGCACAAGATCCCACATTCCTAGCAGTAAATCATAATAATATCAAATTAAATGGGGACGTGGTGGCGCTGCAGGTTAAACCGCAGAACCCTCTGTGCAGCAAGGTCAGAAGACCAGCCGTCGTAAGATCAAATCCGCGTGACGAAGTGAGCTCCCGTCGGTTGTCCCAGCTCCTGCCAACCTAGCAGTTCGAAAGCATATAAAAATGTGAGTAGATAAATAGATACCACCACAGTGGGAAGGTAACGGCGTTGTGTGTCTAGTCGTGCTGGCCACGTGACCACGGAAACTGTCTTCGGACAAAACGCTGGCTCTATGGCTTGGAAATGGGGATGGGCACTGCGCCCTAGAGTCAGACACGACTGGACAATTGTCAAGAGGGAACTTTTACCTTTACTAAATAACTTAACAATCTGTTGCTCTTTCACAATGTTCAAACTCTACTGCCTGAGATGACTGCTAGCCTCTGTGTAACTGAGCCTCATGGTGCAGTGGTTAAATTGCAATGCTGCAGCCAAAACTCTGCTCATGCCCCCATTCAGCCTTCCATCCTTCCAAGGTTGGTAAACTGAGTACCCAGGTCACTGAGAGATTGGGGGCAATGTGCAGGCTGCATCATTAAAATTATAAACTGCCCAGAGAGTGCTGTAAGTGCTATGGGGCAGTATAAAAGCAGCATATTTTGCTTTTTTTTTTTAAGTAGTCTACACTTGAAATACCTTATTTACATTTGCATTGGGTGATATGAGCAGCCTACTGAGAAAAGCAAGGGTAATGGTGTTCAAAGTCAAAGAAAATGTTTCTTATGTTTACTTCCTCCCTTGGGGACAACCTGAGATTGGACACGGAAGCCAAGGAGAAACCAGTCCTTGCCCCCCCCCCGGGTACTCACCGATGGCTCCAAAAGTGACGAAGGGGTTCTGCCGGGGATTGATGGTCTTGTCGTAGGGCCGATTGCCATACATGTGAGCAGCGCTATTGACCAACCAGGCGACGTTGAGCGAAATGGTGTAACGGAGGATTGATGCAAGAAAGTATGAATTCCATAAGCTCTCCCTCCAGAAGTACCAAGGCACGAGAGTAGGTACGACAAAACACATCAGCACAACTGAGATCTTATAATGCCTGTGAAGGAAGGTTGGAAGTGATCCAGCTGTTATCACACAAAACACCAGGCAGCTAGCTTTCTTTCTTTCTTTCTTTCTTTCTTTCTTTCTTTCTTTCTTTCTTTCTTTCTGGACTCCAAATTAGAGATGGGGTATTCGTATTCA